AGATTCTACAAATGGGGAGAAGAACTGGCGACTCATATACCGCTGCACGAGAGAGATTGACCCATCTCATAACCTCCGGACGGTACAGCGACGATGGAAACGTGTCCGATGGCTAAGAGACAGATGTTCAATGGTCACAGCTTCGAAAAAGCAGATTGGCTCTAACCAGACATTACTTACTAAATTACGCTGGAAGGGGGTTTCTACTAGAATTCGATGCGATAGAGCCGGGAGATGGGGAAGAAGAATATGGGAGAAATGCTACGATTGTGGCACAGATCACAAACCCTTTTCTCAAGTCGTTCGATTAGGAGACTCTATCATCGGTTTAGCTGTGTCTATCCTACGTGAAGATACAGATACCTATATCACCGGCTTCGAATTGGTGAATGCAGATCCGGAAACGCCAAATACCATTCTTGGGTATCGGATACCAGGGGAATCAGTGACGATAGATCTCTGCGGTAAGCAACTGATGGGGTTTACGATTATTAAAGGACACGCTGGGATCCATTCAATACGCCCGATCATGAAGAAATTCAAGAACAACAAGGCTAGCTGGGTTGGTTTGCCGCAGGGCAGCGGTTCCCTCGTGATCAGGCGACTATACCTTCGGAATGGCATCAAAGCTATTTCGGGGGAATTTGATGTAAGTCACTTATTTCCGTTCCCTAAATGTATACAAAAGGTAACATTAAGAGTTAGTATTGCAAGATGATTGGTCTATCCATAGCATAGGTTGTCTTTGTAGTTGCTCATTAGCTAGAAATGATTTGCTTTTTATTGAATATCAATGTATTACGAAGTCCTAAAATATGGAAAAGAAAAAGATATAAAATCGCAGAGGTTGACTATCAATTATACGAACTTATTTAGGGCAACTCTACTACTTCAGTTCACATCCATCGAAGTGGAAACTCAACACAAAACACGAGGAAAATAAACCCATTTCATTTCGTCTTATCTTATGAAGCAGGTAAAAGAAAGAGAAAAGAAACGCCGAGTGGTGGGCTAGGGGATACAAAGGAACACCACAATGCCAATGCACCATGAGCAGAAGAGATCAAGAAGCAAACTATATACTCGGAACTTTTTGAAAAGGTGAATTCTGTTTTCTGATTTACTCCCCGAGAGTTTCCACTATTGGGGTTTAAGCTGAGTATGGTATCGAGACCGGAATACGATGAGATGAGGTAGATGGTATAGATGGCGAAGTCACAGGGCAACATGAGGAGAGACGTCACCTCGTCGCGTCAAAACGTAAAATGGAAAATGGATGGGGGAATCTCGAAAGCAGATAGAGAGGAGAAAAGGAAACTTCATGCGCTCAATCGTTGGATGAATGACTGTTGAATGTTAGTTAGATTCCACGTAGATCGACAACATTACTATCAAAGCAGTAGCACATACCGGGAAGAATTGCCGGAACCCTTTCACGTCCAGCTGGCCCATTGCGGTCAGGAACTCTTCGATGAGATCAGCCCCCATGCCCATACCGGGCAGTTCCTGGTTGCGCAAGTATTCCGCATACTCCATGCCTGTCTTAGAGTAAATGGTGCGTTGCAAAGCACCGGCCTCGGCAAGGACCTGCTTGGCTTGTGCATCCTTCGAGTTGAAGGATGGCGTCGTGGGGAGTGCCCAGCACAGAGGCGAGAACCGGGTGATCATGAATCCACCAAAGCCGGGGAGTGCGGCTTGGGCAGGTGCGGCGCCATTAGCAGGGGCAGGGGCAATGTCAGGTCCGCCCCAGCAGCTTGCCATACGGCCCAAGACGGAGAAAGCCATCTTGGCAGTTGTGAAATCATCGATATCTTTGGCAAAGTGCTCGATGGTGGTGATCACGGTTTCGAAGATGGGCTGGTTCCTCTCGCTGATGATGACAGACCCCAAATCATTGTTCAGCACAGCGAGCAAGAAGTTCAGATATTCTCGCTTCAACTCGGCAAGCTGAATCTCATCATCAGTGCCGGTGGTCGGATCGGCAATACCAGAGAAGACCCGCTGCAAGAAAGGAGTCAGGAGGGTGTCCAGGATGCTATAGATCTCACCCTTGAACCCAAAGATGACCTGATCGAGAAGGCGGAGGAATAGCGCCATCTCGTCCCGCGAAGAAGTCTGGGTCAAGAGCCCATCGATCCATCGGGGCAGTTGGGGGAGAATCTGCGCACCGAGAACGCCAATGAGCCGCGAGAACGCAAAGCGAGCAGCGGTCCGAATATTGAACGAGGAACTGAGAGACTCAAGCGCAACCAGGGTCGCTTCAGCCACCTGGGCGAAAGCCGCTGAGACCTCTGGCGCCGGGAGAGTAGAGGGCGAGCTGGTTCCCGGCTGCCAATCCGAGTAACCACGGGCGAGAGTTCCCAGAGCCATGATATCGTGGTGAATTTGCAGCAATGCGCGCTCGTCGTTGGCCTTGGCAGCTTCGAGGTTACGCTCCATGTCGCCAAAGACGGGGTTCATCACCGACTGGGCGTAGAGAACCTGCTTGTCTGCGCCGACACTAGGGGTCGAGGAAATGATTCCAACGGACTCGAAAAGGTACAGCTGGCTGTTGAACACGGCGTCCGCGGAGCCCTCGTGGTCCTCGGAGGACATCTCATCAGCGTCATCGCCCTCCGAAGGCACCTCGGCCTGGATAACCAACAAATCGCTCAATGCCTCAACGACATTCTGTGCCACGTTGCCAATTTGGCTACGCAGCTGTCTAGCTAGTCGCTGGAAGAGATACCACGAACGAGTCTTGACTTTTCGAACAGGGTGGTGCACGAGTTGGAGGAAACTCTCCAGAACTCCAGGGATGAGATGAGAGTGGTGAGTGAAGAATGAACTATAGCGAACACAAATCTCCATGTACTGAAGCTGCGTTGCGGGGTGGGTGAATGATCGGATATCGGACTCTACCATTGCAAGCATCATCTCAATGAGGCGGTTGGCAGCCATACCAGTAGGGGCGCCCTTCAAGTACAGACTGCCGCCTCTGACTGCCAGATCGCCAAATAGGAACATCTCGTGCAAAGCGAGATCTAGGTCACGCCAGTCAAGCTGCCCACCGGATTCCCGAAGTTTTTGGAAAGTGGTGCCCACCACCTCTGAAATTGCATCGATGTAAAGCTGCTCATCGGCGGAGGCGATAATTTGCTGCAAAACACCCAGTCTCTTGCGCAAGTCTTGGAATTCTGCCTCATCCGTCTGCTCGTCCTCTTCACCCCAGTTCGAGGTCTCGTCGTACCGCATTTTCGCAATAATGGCTTTCAGAATCGGAAGTAGGATGGACTTGTTTCGCTCCTCGAGGGACGGGTTCGCCTTGGCGAGTTTCCGGATGTAGGTGAGCATGTCGTTGACGCAAGGAATAACAGTCGAGCAGACTTCGTCGTACTCGTCTGAGAAGAACCGCAGAATGTGCGGCAGGAAGACCCGCAAAAGGTTTTCCGCCTGCTCCTTGACAGGACCAGCGTCGTTATCCAACACTCGCACAATATCCATGACTGTGTTATTGACAAGTTTGGCAACCGTCTCTGCCAAGTCAGTATCGTACTTGAATGTGAAACGGCTCTCTCGTAGTGGAGGGCTGTTGGACAGCTGGGTGATGATGGAGTCGAGGTTCAAGAAAGCGATCATCTCAATTTTGTCCGAAGGCTTCATCTTCTTGCCAATGATCTCGGTGAAGACGTCCACGGCCGCATCACGAACCCGCTGTTCTCCCTCCCGAAGTTCCTGCTTCTCGGCCCGTCCAAGCTGCTGGAAGAGCAAGTCCAACATGGTCTGGTTCACGACAAGACCAATATCGATCCAGCTGACCCAGCTACCAACCGCCTTCAAGCACATCTCGACAATCGTATCATCACCTTCCCGCCACACTGCCAAAATCTCCTGCCAGGAGTTGGCAATTTTCTGCATATCCCTCTCACGGATCAAGTCCTTCAGCGCATTCGCCTTGTCCTGCTCTCCGCGAGATCTGGAAACCAGCACATCGCCAATCTCCTCGTGAATCGAGCTCAGCACACGCAGGTAAAAGATAACTCCGACTTGGCTATCCCGGCCTGTAGATTTGTAGGTCAGGTTGAGTAGATCGTCGATGCAAGACTCCCAGCCGTTCGCATAGAGGGTCGAGAAGAGGAAAGTAACGGTCTGTGCGATTTTGTTCTGGATATAAGGAGCGTCAGGAGTGGCAGTTGCCTCCGGTCCGTAGACCTGACGAATATAGGCTAGCACACTGTCTCGAACGACACCGAGCGAGGCCGGATCGATCAAGCCGACCTGGGCGGCACTATTGACAATCTCCAAGCTGACATGCCGTACGACTTCGGGCCGCTGTGGAGTTTGGGTAAAGAGAGAGAGGCAGACCGGCCATCCGGAGGGGTCGGAGCGGACTTGGTTGAGGTATTCGTAGGCTTGCGATTTTAGAGCTGATTCGGAGGCTGGATTCCAGGCGATCTCAATGGCATTTGCTACCTAGGATGTGTCAATCATCTTGTGTCTTGAGCTGAGGAACGCTCAAGGTTTCGGAGGGGTTGAAACGGCGGGGGAGGGGCGGTGTTTTGAGGTGAAATTATTTTTTTGTTGGCTTGAAGGGTGAACATAATTGGGAGACTGACCTGTTCTTCCATCTTCCAGTCTCCCGAGGTTTTTGGGAGGAGAAAGGGAAATGAAAAGGGGAGGTGTTGTGTTGTCAAAATTGTTTTTTTGGTGGAGATATCACCGGGCATTTAACCTGGATATCGTAATCGATCCCGTGCCAGTTTCCGCCTTCGCTTGCCAAGAGAGTCCTAAGTCTCTAAAATAGTTAATATCTCAAGTAAAGAGAGATACAAAAGAAATTTGATTGAAATTTGAGGTTCTCTGTGTTTTCCTAAATAGGATAAGGGGCTTGCTATTGTCTTTGGGCTCGAAGATTTATTGGAACATCATATATGTACTAAACTTTCTTGTACTCATTGCTATATAAGACTTCAAAATAGCAATGCCGAAATCATTATATCTTTTTTATGTTGATATTATTTTCAGTTTTCATGTTTGGCCTTCTCAGCTTCTTGCTGGAGAACCTTCAGTTCCATCTTCTCAAAGCCCTCGACGGCCTGACCATACTGTTCAAACACTCCCTTTTGATAACCATCTGCAATTTTCTCAATGAACTCCTCCTCATTCCAACGCTGTCCAACTAGGTCCTCAAATGTTTGACCAGGCTGTCGCTCGATACCCCAAACGGCTTTGTATGCAGCACCCAAGGCGCAGGCATTGTCGCCAACATCGAGTGAATATACACCTTCAACACCGCCGAGGATCTCGCCAGCAATTTTGGCAATAGCCTTGTTCTTAGATCCTCCGCCAACGAGATAAACTCGGCGTGGCTGGGCGGGAAGTCCATTGCCAGGGCTCTGGGTAAGGTCTCGAGACCGCAACCGCAGTGAAAGGAACTGGCTCTCAATGATTGCACGGGCTTCGTCCTGCAAGTTCCATCCATCGGTCGTCTCTTGTAGATTTCCTGTGTTGGCATCGTATGTAAAGCGCCATTGGCCCTTCCTGATGTTTGGTACGATCTCGTGCCGCGGGAAGAACAGACCCATCTTCATTGGGCTCGTTGGGTTCTGTTGGCCCAACGGGGCAGTCTGCAGCGCAATTCTGTCAAAGTTGGCCCAGGGCTGGGCAGGGGTATCCTTCAGGCTCTCATTGATCGCGTCTCGGACGTGCTCACGGGCCAAGCCGCCGTTCTTGTAGCACAACATGAACATGTACAAACCGGGGGTGGTAGGATGATTAAAGAAGTGTGTGGCCGGATCGGGTTTGTAGCTGGGGGTTGACATGAGGAAAGTAGTAGATGTGCCGAGCGAAACCATTGCATCTGATGGCAACAGTGGCAGGGCAAGAATGGTCGCTGGATTATCGCCAGTTGCTGGAATAACCGTGCAATCGGAACTGAAGCCGAAACGCTCTCTGAAATATGCGTGAACGGGGCCTAGGTGTAGGCCTCCATCTTCCGGTACCTCACCGAGCTTCTGCTTAAGATCCTCAACTCCAAAAACACCCGAGCAAAGCTGAATCAGGCGCTCGTCGTACGCCCCTTTCTTGATGTTCCACAAGTTCATCCCGCACACGTCGGAGATGTCGAATGGGGCTACATGACCTAGGAAAAGCGATGCCAAGAAAGATGACACCAATGAGATTCTCGAGGTTTTCTTATAAATCTCGGGGTATTTCCTTGTAAATCGGAGGATTTGGGGACCTGTGAATCTCTAATGACAGTGTCAGCAGGCTTGCCCCGCATATAGTCTTTTAGGGTTTCTTACATGGTGTGCTTTGCTTCCAGTGGCCTGCGCCAAATCTTCAGGCTTACCGAGAGCTGCATCAAACTCATCACATTCTTTCTGGGTGCTCGAGTCTTGCCAATTGGGACTGTATGGATGGGAGAAAGCGCCTTCCAACTGTGCCTCAAGGGACTTGCTAGAATCAAGATTGCGGAGAAGTGACTCCGCATTCTGACCCCAGTATACACTTCCGTGCTGCTGTCCCGCACCGCTGATTCCTTTCACACGGCTGAAATCAAGACCTTGCTTGCGCAAGCTTTCTAGAACACCGTCCAATGCTTGTAGCCACAGAGCGACCGGGGCAAACACTTCATGTTCGGCTTCATTATTCAGAACACCTTTTTTGATCGGGAACCCATGCGAATCGGCATCGAAGTCGAATTTGGCAACATGGACTACTTTAAGATCGGAGTTGACAACTAATCCCTTCAATTGTTGCGTCGAGAGATCAAATCCAATGTAGAGGGGGGTATCTGACGCCATGATGAAAGTGATAGATACAATTTCACGGGGACAATAGAGTAAATAGAGTAAATTGAGAGAAAGATAAAGTGGGATTTAGGCAAAAGTAGATCAAATCCGGGAAAAGAAGTAGAAGTGCAAGCGGCAAGATTTCCCCGTGGAATGAACCGATGATGTAAATGGACTATTATAACCGGTCTCATTCTTATAGACACTTTTTTTATATATAGAAAAGTGGAAAGTAAACACCGAAGAACCAATTAGGACAAGTTTATAATTCTTCTCGAAATGTCAAGTCAATCCCGAGGGGCTTTTTGGCCGGGTAAATAGCTTTTTTTTTTAGCTGGAGCTCTGCTAAATTCTCGGTAGAATACCCTTAACCCCCCCACTATATCACGAACACTCTGTATATTTGATATATTCAATCTATAATAGATCCAAGGGTATCATTGTAGAAAATCTACTATTGTCGCTTTCGATCCTGAAGTGTTTCCGGGTCACCAGTAATATTCTGTGCAACGAACTCATCCGAGAAGGTGAGGTCCTGTTGTTCCGCCGGAATGAATCGTACCTTGATTCGCCTCACACCACGAACTCCAGATCCAACAGCCTTGCGAACGGCCTCTTCGATGTGTCGCGACCGACTGATAGCCCAGGCACCCGGCACAGCCAACTCAATGTCCATTAAGTAGTTTTGACCGGATTTCATGCCCTGCACGTCACGAACAATCACTTCGTGTCCATCCTCAATATCCTTCAAGGCCTTGGAGGCAGCATCCTCCACAGAGTGTCGGATTTCCTCATCAACCGTAGTATCTGCCAACTCCAAAAGAGAGGTACGGGTATTGCCCCAACCGGCTTGGATAACCATCAAGGAAATCAGGAGTCCACCAACTGGATCCAGCCAGGTGGCGTCTTGGAAGACATAGCTTCCTCCAATTGTGAAAAGGGCGACAATACTTGTCAGGGAATCGATACGGTGGTGAACGGCGTTGGATGCAAGGACGGACGACTTGCGCTCTTCGGCAACCTTCATAGCTAGAATAAAGTTAGCCTAATGAATCTAAATCCTCTAGATTTCCCCCTGCATCTCTGTACTTACTGGCATGGTAAAGCCACTCCTTAACCACAATCGAGCCTGCTGCAATCCATGCCGCATGGATGCTAGGACCTATTGGCCCATGACTGTGTGAATGACCATGTCCCAAAATTCCAGAGTGAGCTACGGTTTCAGCCACCTCTGGGTAGAACTGAGCCAGCAGGACCTGTCCCGCGTTGAGGCCCATGAACACTCCTCCACAGAGCAGAAGCCCACTGACTCCTAGCGCACCGATGCTCTCGATTTTTCCGTATCCATTGGGGAATCTTTCACTCGGGGGTTTCAGGGACCAAGCGACAGTTCCCAGAGTCAAAAAGTCGGAGACGAGATCGGTGAGCGCGTGGTAAGCGTCGGCAATGAGGGCTTGAGAGTGAAAGACATAACCACCAATGAACTTTCCAATTGCCATAAACAAATTTGAGAGGAGACCAATCCTTGTAATTCGAACACCAGCGTCATTTTTGTTTGAGGAAGTTAGGTAGGTATTGTCATGGTGGTGATGATGATGGCCGTGGCCGTGGCTATGGCCATGGTCTCTAGTTTGCGTCATAGCGAACGACGTTGCCGGACGTGGGATAGAACGAGGTCTTGAATGAAAAAGAAAGGAAGAAGCGTCTTTTAAAAAAGGTGTAGAAGTAAGTATACGCCGCTGGGCAGTAAGAGATCTGAAACTGGAGATCCTGTGGAGAGGACGAAGCCTGCATAGGGGCTGCGTCAGCGGCATCGCGTCGCAGGGCACGCGAGCACAATAAAAGCGATTGGACAGAGTGTTCTTTTCGACTCAAGAGCCAGAGATTTTTTTTAGTTTTTAGTTACATTTAAACTAAAAAAAGATGAGATGCGTAAGTGGGATGTTTCGATCAGGTCATCCGGCTATTCCCTTGATTTTCCGTTTCCAATCTCAGCGTTTTTGTTTCTAATCCCTTTGCCCTTTGACTCGGACTATCCCCCGAAACCTATCAGAAATTCTACTTTACCAATTCATATTGTTCTATTAGTACGGAATACTTATACTATTTGATCTTCTTGGCCATCTTTAAGCAGTGCCAAGCATCCAACTACGCAATCGTTGGAGAACCTCCGCTTTTCCGCCAAGACAATGATGTTGCGTCTTCAATGACGACGCCTGCTATTCGGATCCCCTTTACGGGACCATTACCACCTGCGATTATAATTCCTCGAACTGCTACAACAATATCAGGGGCAATTGATGCTATTAGCACTTTCTTGACTGCGCCACCGTCCTCCAATCTCAGAGGCGTCGATGTGGGGAGATATTCCCAGACGGTACTCTTGACTGGTGCAGGTATCTCCGTCGCGTCCGGCCTGTCAGATTATCGAGGCGACCAAGGTACCTACCGGCGAAACAAATCCTATCGTCCGATTTACTACCACGAGTTTGTCTCTCGCCATGAGTCGCGCAAGCGGTATTGGGCCCGCAGCTTCATCGGATGGCCTGGACTTTTAAAAGCAAAGCCGAATTCGACTCATTGGGCAATTAAAGACCTTGGCGATAAAGGGTACATTAGTTCTGTGGTGACACAAAATGTCGACTCGTTCCATTCCCTCGCGCATCCAGAACTGTCCACCCTCGAACTACATGGATACTTGCGATCTGTCGTCTGCACTAGCTGTCAAAACCAACTTCCCCGCACTGATTTTCAAGCGTCGCTGGAGAAACTCAATCCAGCTTGGGCGGAGTTTTTGGCTCGTATGGTCGCAGAGGGTGTGCTCGATACCGATAATCAGGAGGAGCAACGGCGGAAAGGCTTGAAGCTGAACCCAGATGGTGACGTTGATCTCCCTGAAGCGCCATATTCTACTTTCCGTTATCCTTCATGTCCTACCTGCTTGGAGAACCCTCCTATGTTGAGCGATGGCACAAAGGCCAACGTAGAGGTAGAGAGCGACGGTGCATTATCGGCAACTTCAAATGCCGGCATTTTGAAACCAGCAGTGATCATGTTTGGAGAGAATATTGATCCATTGGTGAAGACAGCAGCTGAAGAGGCTATTGATGATGCTGGGCGGCTACTCATCTTGGGTAGCAGCCTAGCAACCTTCTCGGCGTGGCGCCTAGTCGAACGAGCACACAAACGTGGCATGCCTATTGGTGTTGTCAATGTTGGTGGCGTAAGGAACGAAGCCATGCTGTTTGAGAATATTGAACATGAACCCGCTGCTCATGTCCGTTGTAACCATCCAGTCCAGTCAGTCCTCCCGACCGTTGTATCTCAACTCCCAATCAATGTATAGATTTTTCTAAAAGAAGGATAAAATAGACTGAAATGGAGATCTAAAATAAAACAGAACCTATTATAACAAAAAAACCAAAGATAAAAATAGTGATAAAGAGAATAAGCGCCTGAGGCAAAAAAAAAGCAAGTCGATAAGTCCGGGCCGCTGAACGCGGGGCTCCTCCCTCACGTCTCAGCATGGAGCACTCCAGGGATCCTCACCCTTTAAAGATCGCATCCAATCTAGTCTCTCCTGGTCACTTTCTCTTTTCTAAACCCAAACCATCGGGGCCACCGGCTTCCAAAACTCCACAGAAAATGGACAAATATCAGCAACCCAGTTCTTTCCAGCAGCTGGAAAAGGCATGCCTTTCTACTTATTAAGTCTTGGATCTTTACTGACTGTTGTCTTGTTTCTAGCTCGGCGAAGGCACTTATGCTACCGTACGTTTCGATCTCTCTCCCTTTCACTTCCCCGCTCATACCCTGATCGCCACTCCCCCCATTCACCGCTGATGCAGAATACAGGTCTTTAAAGGGCGCAATCGCCAAACCGGTGAAATGGTGGCGTTGAAGGAAATCCACTTGGATTCAGAGGAAGGAACACCCTCAACTGCAATTCGTGAGATCTCGCTCATGAAGGAGCTGAAGCATGAAAGTATTGTTTCGCTCTACGATGTCATCCACACGGAAAATAAACTCATGCTCGTTTTTGAGTTCATGGACAGAGATTTGAAGAGATACATGGACACTCGTGGTGATCGTGGACAGCTGGATCCTGCTACGGTCAAATCCTTCATGCACCAGCTACTCAAGGGTATCGCCTTCTGTCATGACAATCGAGTCCTTCATCGCGATCTGAAGCCACAGAACCTGCTGATCAACAAGAAGGGACAGCTCAAGCTAGGTGACTTTGGACTAGCTCGTGCTTTCGGCATCCCAGTTAATACATTCTCCAACGAAGTCGTCACTCTGTGGTACCGCGCACCGGACGTCCTCCTTGGGAGTCGCACCTACAACACCAGTATTGACATTTGGTCCGCTGGCTGCATCATGGCAGAGATGTACACCGGTCGTCCGCTTTTCCCCGGCACAACCAACGAGGATCAATTGATCAAGATCTTCCGTCTGATGGGCACGCCATCCGAGCGTACATGGCCCGGAATCTCGCAGCTTCCAGAATACAAGTCCGACTTCCAGATCTACGCCACGCAAGATCTGTCATTGATCATTCCGCAAATGGATGCCGTCGGGATGGATCTGTTGAACCGTATGCTTCAACTCCGTCCAGAGATGCGCATCAGCGCCAACGAGGCCCTTCAACACCCGTGGTTCCATGATCTGCCTCAAATCCAGGCCAAATTGCAACAGCAACACCAGCAGCAGCAGATGGCTGGATACGGAGGCATGATCCCCCCGCAGCCCGCTTATTAGCGGTCTAGACTGCGCATGACGAGATAATGAGCTCGATTAGACAATTGGACATGGGAGAATTCGGCGTTATACCCGATGGATATTTTGCATCCCTTTTTTTTTTTTTTTCAATTATATTGCGAATCTTGGGCTAGTTTTTTTCAAAGATGAAGAGTATCTGGCCTGCTAGATTAATCAACTTCGGAACACTGCTCTGTTGTCGGTTGTGATGGTGCTCTGGGACAGCGCGCTCCAGATGTTATCAACCTTCTGCCTGTCGCTTTCAAATAGCTATTCCCGGATAAATTAATCCTGCCATTCACCCAAATTATATCTATTAGCAGAGCGAGACATTGGCAAGAAATGCTTGGGCCCAGTACAAATGTCCCCGTTGGAACTGCAATCCTCGGAAATATCTTGGCTTGATACTCCAAGTTCTTTATACACCAGCCAAGGATTTTCGGAACAAACAAGCTCATGGCTGCTGCACTACATTATGAAGCACTGGGCATAAGTACCTCGAGCAACCCTTTCGAGCAGGCAGTACCTTAGCGTTTGAAGGTCTTGATGCTTGTTCGGAATAATCTTTCAAACATGCAGTCACCCGTATTTCAATCTGGTCTTCTGTACGGAGTAAATGAAAACATCGGGGGAAAACAAGTTATACTGTCCCACACGGGCGAACTGATTTTATGACTTTCACAGGGCTTCTTGTCACCGTTGTACTCTTGGCATATTCAGGTTACTTCGCCTTCGAGAACAGACTCTAATAGCTAGGGACAAAGACTGCCTAAACAATGACTCTAATCATTGGTGCAACCCAAATGCTATGCATCCGAGGCTTTTCTATGCAGACCAGTACTGGTCCCTTATCCTATCCCTTGCCTATTGTCTATGTATTTCGCAAATCCCGGCACGTTGTGATACCACCACTGTCGTTCGCATGTCTTTCCCTGGGAGTACGAAGTACTGGTTTGAATCCTGTCCCATGTGATGTTTGAGAATCATTTTAAAATATATCCTTTGTTCTTACTCATATTCTTGGCAGTTTGAGCTTAATACTGTTGGGGCTGCCCTCTTTCTTATATGACCGGACATCAGGCTAGTATCTTCCTAACTATAAACCGATGAGATTAACAATGTGCTTATTGGGCTAATCTTGCCTTTTGTCTTTTCTTTTTTCTGTGTTTTTTTTTTTTTTTGGTTGCCTGTTGCGGATAATAACCAGGTGGTATTGTGCTTTGGCCACTCTACACTCGAACCGTTTGCCTTCCCGAGGTCTCGAGGGGAACCATAACCCAAAAGTCCCCCTTGGTAGATCTACAATCATCTGGATATTCACAAGCAATCTTGTCTTTGGACCACGGGGGTCTTTTCGGTTCATATCTGCCGGATATAACTTTTAGGCGCTGGTAGCCTTCCCCCTCGCGACGAGCTCATAGATCATGATACCATGACGCTGTCAGAACGACAAATATTGGCCATCTCGGCCACAGAGCGAGTTTGCTCGACTATCTCGTTGGTTGGCACTTTTGTTATAGTCGCTACTTTTATTTGGTCCCCCACATTCCGTAAACCCATCAACCGCTTGGTGTTCTATGCATCGTGGGGTAACATCATGGCTAATATAGCCACCATCATATCGGCAGACGGGATTCATTCTGGGGCGGATAGTTCACTATGCCAGTTCCAGGGATTCTTGATTCAATGGTTCGTATCAAATCAGCAAATAGCATCCTCAGATAACCACTAATAAGCAAGGATAGGTTCATGCCCGCCGATGCACTATGGACATTCGCAATGGCATGCAATGTCTACCTAACATTCTTCCACAAATACAACTCAGAGCAACTACGCCAGCTGGAATGGAAATATGTGCTCTGCTGCTACGGTGTTCCATTTGTCCCAGCTTTCGCGTACTTCTTCATCCAAACTCAGGCCCGAGGCCGGTTATATGGCTCCGCCATAGTAAGCACCTCAAAGCCCTCCTACCAGCCTATGCTAATCCAATCACCGCACGACAGCTCTGGTGCTGGATCTCTACACAATGGGGCTTCCTCCGCATCGCCACATTCTACGGACCAGTCTGGCTCATTATCTCATTGACCTTCGCTATCTACCTACGAGCAGGAACGGTGATTTATCAGAAACGTCGTCAGCTTCGGAACCTCGGCGGCATAGACTCAGATCTTGCTCCAGAATCCCCCTTTGCGATGTTGACCGGTATCCAAGTTACTAGGGAGATTGCTTGCTCGACGCCAGAGCGCCGGTCCCTATCGGAGGGCAACGCGCGCGGGTTGCCGTGTGCTGCGTTCAGAGCATACTCGGTCACGATCGAGGGCGGGAGTACGGCCAGCACAACTCAAGGTCCCAGCTCAAAAATCGGTCCAAGTCCTCTTCAGCGGGAGAATTCTGGCAAGATCACGCGGCCAGATGGGCTGGATTCGCAACGGAGGTCGACGTCCACGGACGCTAGTTCGGCGACTTGGGCGTATACAAAATACGCTATGCTGTTTTTCATTGCATTGCTTGTTACATGGGTAGGTCTGGTCGAAGCCCATCATAGTCTGAAAACCAGTGTCGGCTCTTTTCGTGTGTTGATTGTTCGACGCAGGTCCCCTCGACGATAAACAGAGTCTATTCCCTGGCTCGGCCTAATGACTTTAATTTCAGTCTAAACTATGCTTCTAGCTTCGTCTTACCGCTCCAGGGCTTTTGGAACAGTCTTATATACGTTTCTATCTCATGGCCCGCATTCAAATTACTCTGGTCTGACCTCCATAGCCGTGTATGCTCATGGCGCATATCCCGTTCAGTGACAAATATACAGTCTCTTCATCTACAAAAAGGCTCACAAAGCTCGACTCCTGCTCTTTTGGTGAAAGCTGAGAATGAAGAGGACAGACGCCGGAGTTGGCTGGGCTTAGATCCATCAAGTTAGGGCTGGGGGTTGGTTGATAGCTAAATGCCTCATTTCCATCGCAATATACCATCAAAACTACTTCATATAATGGTTAGACCTCCATCGCAATATCTAGCATTTAACGGAGTATGGGAATAAATAAATAAACATTCAAATATCGATAGAACATACAACGTCAATTCGATCTATAGAAACACGTGACCGGCGCGTCGCGTTGAAGTCCGTCCAACACCCCAGATCCAATCTCCGAAAGAACCACTACGACCTCCTACACACCACTCTCGCCATACCCGCATTCTTTTCATTGCTTCCCACTCTCCCACTCCATCCTGATAGCAGCCACATCCACCATGGCCGAATCGAATTCCCACCAACCGCCCGCCGCGTCGCCGTCCCCTCCCCCGCCAGCTCCAATCTCCCAATCCCCGGGCCCGCGCGCCTCACGTCTAAACCAGGTCTTTGAGCAGGCTCTAGCACGCACGCTCCGCGCAAACTCATACGCGAACTTTGCAGGCTGTTTCCCGACACCTGCGCGCCACGTTCCTGCCAGCTTGGAGGGTGTCTGGCGACAGCTGAACGCGAAGCTAGAAGCGAATGCCAAGGCTGAGTTTGATGATATTGTCGCCGAAAGAGATGCAGTGTCACATTTGAATGAGCTTGACCGACTGGTTGGGGATGCGAGGGCTAGAAGGGACCAGGAGGGGGAGAATGCCGATGGACAGGAGAGAATAGTGTATGTTGAATAGATTGTGCCGGACTATATTTGTTTCTGACTCTAAACTTGGCTTACTATACAGTGCGCATACGCTCGGCGCCGAAGATCTATACAAAGCGCATCTTACGCCCTATTTGCAGGAAGCGCAGTCGACCCTCAACGCCAGACTCGAGGCTACTCATGCGGAGAACGCGGAGCTTGCGCAGACGGTGCAGGCGCAGAGGCTGGAAATTGAGCGGCTATTGTCGCATCTTGGATTGGTCGTTTCCGATATTGAGGGGGCTGCTACGGCGGCCACGCAATTCAGCAGACAACATCACATTCGCCAGGACGCGATCCAGATGGATGAGGAAGCGAACGCCCGTCCGGAGCTGTGAGCGTATTGCGGAAATTGCTTCTCTATCTGATTCATGATGAAATCAGGGCACTCAATTCCCTGCCATCAACCATCCCGTCTTCCACCATATCCTGCGCCACGACTATCACCTGTTGGAGGTCCGTTGATTTGAGCTGCTCGAGCTTCGTGTTCTGGCCTTCGATTGCTGCGGCAATCGCCTCCTTGCAAGTTCCGTCGCGTTCTTCCTCAACTGCTCCGTCGCGGCGAGCGAGAGCTGTTGCTCCGCGATAGTACGTCTGAGCGTTGCGCAGGAGCATAGCTCCGTTCTGCTTCGCTATGGCGTGGTTCCAGGGCGCTCGTCCAAGACGCCATCTGTGCATCTCCGCGTCTCCGCGACCAAGGTGGATCTTGGGCAGGTTTTCGGCATCTGGGAGCTTAGTAGCAGCCGTTAATGCGTCTAGGGCGGTTGAAAGCGACTTCCAACGCAATGCTACCGCGTTCTCAAACGCCTCGTCATCCTCCGATGGAGGGATGTCCGAAAGTGCCTGGTTCAATGACGTGAGCGCATCTGCTTTGCCACACAGCCCTTCAGGGTCCGCGGATACATCCAGTTCCGGGCCAAAAACCTGTCCAACCTCCTGCTGGTAGGTTTGGATATCGGTATGTCCGCCTCGGTAGAGCAAATCGTTCAATGCACAGATGAACTTGGCTCGCGCTAAGGCCGCCTCATACTGTCTGTCCGAGCCTTCAGCATAAGCAGGCAGCCGCGAATGCACTAGCTCCGACGAGTACTCTTGTACCCAACCAACACCGCCCGCACCGGGGTTAGAAATCAACACGTTGCACAGAGTCGTCAAAGTCTCCAGCTGTGCCACGGCCGTGTCCACGAGCGTATTCTTCGTGACAGGCTCCACAATCATCGCCCACTGTTCTTGCTCCTCGCCGGACTCGACTTGAGACTGCCCCGCAGCTGGTGGTACAGACTCCGGCTCCGGCGGCACACCCCCGGATTTCATCAGTTCGATCTCCTCTTGCATTTCCGTGTACTTCATCTCCTGTACCATCAGACACCGCTGGAACAGCTCAATCGCTTCTTGCAGGTAGGTCCCCGCTTGCATCTGCTCCTCCTCACCGGGATGCTTCAGATTGGATATCAACTCTGCTAGACTGGTCAGCACCTGGCCCGAATTGAACAACACGTCAGCATTGTCCTGCTCCAGACCCAGGGCATCCCGGTGTGACTGTAGCGCAATCTGCAAAAGCTCCCCCTGTGGCGCTGGCAGCTGGGCTGCTAGTTTGGGGTGCTGGGTGATTTCATATTGGACTCGTGCTCTGGGTGGTGTGTTAGTAAAGGTAAACTCGAAACAATACCTCTCAATCATGGATGAAATTAAATAATGTAAAAAAAAACATTGGCTTGTTTTGGTACAAAATATACGTACTTGTTGTAAGCTAGATCAAATGTGCCGGGATGTTTCTGTAGTCCTTCGTCATAGTTGGTGATGGCCCGCATAAAGAAGCGCATGGACTTGGCCGCATCTCCGGCCCGCCATTTCTCTCCGGCTTCTTCTAGCTCGACGCCGGCTAGAGAGATGGTTAGTTCTCTTTTTTTGTCTGCTGATATTATTGGCTTGAAGTTCAAATACACACCTGCAAGAAATTCATCTGCAGTTACAGGTGCCTATATCAAAATGTATGAGATCATGACCAAGCTGTTTTGTATGAGGTTATATTGTTACTGCATACCTGTTTCGAGGCAGCCTTCTTCTTTGTCTTTGTCTCCCTTAGGAAGGATTTCGGCTTCGGCATATCTGCGGGAAAGCTGTTGAATGAATTGAATGAGGATCGACAGAGATGTGCTTGAGAAGTAAATCCGGCAGAATCTGCGCGGTGTGTGACGCCTCTTGCTGTCGCCTCGACTGCATGTAACAATGATCATGATAGTTATTGTTCTTGGCTTTAAGATTTAATTCTGGTTAATGTATGGAGTACTATGTAGTAATGTATGTAAGACTTCTTTGTATACATAGAATGTGTCACTGAAAGACTCTCAAAGTAACCTGGTCTTTCAGATCTGCATGGATGCCAAGACTAGAGGGTGTACACAGTAAGCTGCCTGAGTTTTGTTTCATGTTTTGAAGGGTAATGTTAGTACCAAATGTTGCAAAAGGGGGGTTTGTGTTTCCAGCTTCATGTCTGTGTGAAAATGGTACTATGTATGTAGGCCGAGGTACATTGTACAGTCCCTTACTGTTGTGTGCATAGTATCTACGGAGTACAGTATACATAGATGGGAAGTAATCTGACCAATTTTTCATTACAAGGTTCTTCAGAATATAAATATAATAAAAATCATAAGAATAATGTATCTAATAATTAGTTCCCGAGGTCAAGATAGTACAAAGAAAACCTTAGAGACGATCTCGCGTGGACGGCACGTGGCAAAGATATTCCCGGTAAAGCTCAGAGAACTTGTTTCCTTGGACTATCATTGACCAGATTTGTGTATGTCATATAATCCAAATACCTAACCTTGGAAATACCTATCCACCTTACAATTTCAACTCTTGAACATCTTACGATTACGTCGATCTTTCCAAAAAAAATCCCTTCCACCCCTTTCCCACGCCTTTCCCCACCAATTTGACCCACCCCGTTTCGCCTTCTCCTTTCTGTGACTCTAATTCTACTTCTACGCATTTGCGATTTCAACATATCCCTCGGAGTATGTACCCTTTAAGATCGCCACTAGTCCGTAATACCCGCTAATAGGTCAATTCTGCAGGTATTCCATCAAGGCCTCCATATAACAATTCGAAACTGAGCCCCTCTTTCGGCACAAATTCTCCTTATAACCACCCATATCGCCTCCTAGAAATGGCCCGCCAACCTTCTCTCGACTCTGAGCGTCCTATCATGGCTCAATCGGTAGGGATCCCTTCCCCTTACCCCCTCTACCTACTCTGCTCTTAGCTTCGCATTTACACTAGAACCATGCAAGTCTAACCCACTACAGAACCGAAACTCAAAGCGATTCTCCACCGTCAGTGGAAGCCCCTCGCTGGCTGCCTCTGATCGCACAAACGGGACTCTACCCAGTGGCGACCCCAGAATCGCCGACATCTTCCACCTCCACGATGGCTTTGAACGTCTGGAGAGCAAGCCTCTCAACAAGCAGCGATTCGTCCCCACCGAAGAGAAGTCGAACAACCTGAACAAACTTGCTCTTGGGGCTAAGGTCGAGCGCGCTCTGGGTCGGAGGATGACTGGACAAGACGCTGTCATGCGCAAGCCTCTCTCTGAGAAGAATGAGGCGCATACTGAGTCGCCCTGATGGTGACAATACATCTAGAAGGCAAATGACTTGTGTTGCCTTGTTTCGCGTGGTTGACCCGTCTCTAATCGTTCGCTTGTGACTTGTTCCTTATTCCTGCCCTTTTTTTTCGTACCAACATCCGAGCCTCTATCTACACGGCTCTTATGATTGTCTTTTTTTTTCAAACAGTCACCTTTTCATGTCCTATCATACCCCTCTTTCTTTTTTTCGGATCAGTTTGTGGCGTTTTGACTTGAGATTCGCATTTACTTCCTTGAGTATGAACTTCCGGATCTAGTTCTTTTCTCTTCTTCTTTTTTTTTCCTCATGTATCTTCAAATTATCATGAAATCTTCCCACTTCATCCGTATTCTTATAGGATTCCTCTTTAATATCTCGTATACAATAGAATTCTGCCAGGCGGTGTATATCTGCCAAGACCCAAAGTCAAAGAGAGGGAAGTTCCTCTTTTCTTTCGAAGGCGAATTTCCCACAGCTTCATCTCATCTTCTTTTTTTTTTTGTCCATTTTCTACACAATATTCCCCACCCTTCTCTGTCCATCTTCTCAGGACCCACATTTCTCTCGATTCTCACCTTTTTCTCCAACCTCCCTTTTCGCGCTCTTCTTCACTTCTATACTTCCGCTTTTCCCGAGCGTTACTCTTGCTTTCTATCTTCAATTGCTTGCATTGGTGCTTGGTTTCGCATCGTGAGTTCCACTAGTTCGGGTCAAGATCCCTAAAACTAATGAAGATCTAGTGAAGCGAGGGAAAACACAAAGAATTTCATTTTTAGATCGCTCATCGCTTGCTTGAAAAAAGAACCCCTCTCGGCCATTTATAATCTCGCTATTTCCGCCGTGCTCGGTTACTTTTAATCTCATTTTCCACCCGAAACCGAAAATAAAACCCCTCAATCCAACATGGCCGATATGACTCAGGTTCCTATCAATGGAAACTACCCTGCCCAGCACGGTTACCCCGAATCCTATAACCACGCATCTGTCACTATGAACACTGCTGCCAGCTTCCAGCCTGCTCAGTCCTCCACCCCGACTACCGTCACTCCCACCGACCAGCAGAAGAATGAGATCTCCAAGGATGAGGTCGGCTGGTATTTCGTTGAGCAGTACTATACTACTATGAGCCGCAACCCTGACAAGCTCCACCTGTTCTACTCTCGTCGGTCTCAGCTGGTCTTCGGCACTGAGGCCGAGTCGGTTCCTGTCACCGTTGGTACTAAGGTTAGTTCAATTCGATCTTCTCGATGTGAATGCTGTCTAATCAAACACCCCCACTTCCATAGGCCATCAACGAGAAGCTTAACTCCTTGAAGTTCCAGGACTGCAAGGTGCGCGTCTTGAATGTCGATTCTCAGGCTTCTTTCGACAACATCCTGGTCTCAGTCATTGGTGAGATCTCCAACAACTCTGAGCCATCCCGCAAGTTCGTGCAGACTTTCGTCCTCGCCGAGCAGCCCAATGGCTACTACGTTCTTAACGATATCTTCCGATACATGGCCGAAGAGCCAGAAGAAGAACCCGAGCAGGCCACTCCGGCTGCGCCTGTTGCCGAAGCCCCCGAGGCCGTTGCCGAGGCTCCCGCTGAGGAGGCCCAGGTTGCTGAGGAAGTCGCTGCTCCCACCGTCGATGAGAAGGCCGAGGAGGTCGAGACCAACGGCGCTCCCGTGGAGGAGCCCAAGGAGGTCGCTCCCCAGACCAACGGTACCCCCGTCGAGGAGACCCCCGCTCCCGCTCCTGCCGTCGAGGCTGAAACTCTGAACGAGGAGCCTCTCACCCCTGAGCCCTCTCCCGCTCCTGAGAAGGAGGAGGTTCCTGAGAAGGAGACCTCCCCCACTCCCGCTGTCCCTAAGACCTGGGCTAGCATTGCGACTACCTCTTTCGCAGCTAAGGCTGCTGCTGCTGCCAAGGCGCAGGCCGCCCAGGCCGCTCCTGCCCCTGCTGCTCCTGCCACTACTGCTCCTAAGGCTGCTGCTCCCGCTGCTCAGGCTGCCCCTGCCGCTCAGCCCGCTGCCACCCCCGCTCCCGCGGAGGCTGCCCGTTCCCAAGAGGCTCCTTCCACCGAAGCTGGATGGCAGACCGCCGGTCACGACAAGAAGTCGCAGCCCCGTACTGAGGAGACTGTCCTCGCCTATATCAAGAACGTTAACGACAAGGTCGATGCCAGCCTGCTCAAGCAGACCCTGGCTCGTTTCGGTAAGCTGAAGTACTTCGATGTCAGCCGTCCCAAGAACTGCGCCTTTGTTGAATTCAACGAGCCCGCCGGTTATACCGCTGCCGTTGCCGCCAACCCCCACCAGATTGGCAGCGAGCAGATCCTCGTTGAGGAGCGCCGCCCCCGTGGCAACGCCTACGGCAGCAACAGCTTCCCCGCCGGCCGTGGTGGCGGTGCCGGTCGTGGACGTGGTGACCGCGCCGGCAGCCAGGGTCGTGGTGGCTTCCAGCGTGAGGGCCGTGGTAGCTTCACTCCCCGTGGCCGCGGTGGCAACGTTGCCGCCAAGGGTCGCCCTAGCCAGGCCCAAGCTGCTTAAACACTTTTACGTGATTTTGATGATCCTCTACGTTCTTCTTCCCCATCGGTGTCACGTCTCTCACAATTCCCGTGACTATCCCTCCGATGGATGATCTCGGGATCTGTATTACTCCGATTTTGATTCTCTTTTTTCTTTTGCCCCGTCTCTTCCTAATGACATGTGTTACGTGACTATTGCCTCCCCCCTTTTTTCCCGTCACAGTGCATATTAGCGGTTAGTCCGGGTTGGCTGGAAAAGTTGCGTCTCTTTCCTTCCCTCTGGGCACTTGTGTTTTAACCCTTTTTTTTTGATCTTCCTCTTTTACTTGCTGGGATCGAGTGTCTTTTGACATTCACGATTCTTCTTATTTGCACCATATTCCTTTCTTTCAGTGTCTTCCTCCTACGATCTGTTACTTGCTCCTTTTTTTGCAAGACGTTATATTGCATCTTTTTTTTTACCTAGCATAGCAAACTCCAGGGTTTTACGGTGGTGCGCCATCCCGGTCTTTTGTATTTTGTTCTTGTATCTTGCTTTTGTTTTGAGGGATCCATTGTAAATGAGATATCCTCAGGGATGTATGGAACAAAAGAAAAATATGGATTAGAGAATGAATCTCATATATATATTATATTTTTTATATACTCTTTTCAGCACCCTCGGGGGTTGACCTGTGCTTACCTAATGGGAGTCGACGAGTCATCCATCTGGGGTACCTTAGAAGATTCTAGCAAAATGGCTACTTGCCACCAATATGAAAGAAACCCCTGTCTAAGAGCTAAAGAAGGAATAACTAAAATAAGTAGATCAAAATAAGCAAGTTATATAAAAACCAGAAGAATCTAGAATTATGTCGAGAAAGGCTGCAAGGTTGCCTGAACGACCAGTGGAAGTTGCTGGATCATCGTAGAAACTCTCCACAAGAAATTTTTGGAAACACAAAAGGAACTGGCCCGCTC